ATTCTATTATCTCCATACTTATCAGTGCAAGAATTTTCTTAGTAAACAGTGTTGTAAAGTTTCTGAAATTCTAGTGGCCATCATCATAGCCTTGGTCACACCCAACTCTTAATGCTTCCAGCAGCAGCCTAATCTTGTCACCCTCCCAGAGGACACAGTTATGTCTCTCTAAACTGTGTTTTACAGTTGTGTTTGTTTTTTTTTTTACTTTAACCTATTTACAACCAGTAAAAATCTAGTTGAGTTTTCTAATGAACTGTTTTAGCGATCAAGTGATCTGACAAGAAAGCCTTTATGAAACCCTGAAACAGCCTTGCAAAAGAATAATTCTCACTTCCCTCTCTGTTTGCTTTGTATGCTCAGCCTTCAGAGCTGAACTTGTCAATTTCATTCTAAGGACATATTTTTCTTAATAATCTTAACTGACTTGTTTCCCACTTTTTCACTCAAATATGTTTTTTTCATTACTCTTCCCTTTTCCCTGCATATGCAGGAAAGGGAGTAATACAAATGTTGCAGGATGCAAAACCAGAGAGAAACTTCACCATTGGTCATTTTCTCTAACTCTGCATCTTCTAAAATACTTATTATGGATCAGACTCTTGCTTGAATGTGAAAGAATTTTCATGCTTAGCCTTCATGCCATCTGTTAGTTTCCAGTTCCATAACTGCAGTCTTAACTACATTTAAAATGTCTCTTAACTTTTGCTCCTTCATGGTTTTGTGGAAAAAAAATAAAATAAAAAACATTCTTTAGTATAATGTAGTCCCCATTTCTGCCTGCAAATAAGGATTTCTCTGATTTCCCTTGCATTAGATCTCAAATTACAAGTTGTCTCTAAGTATTCACAAAGCTCCACTGTTTTAATCCAGAGCTTTGTAATAGCTGTTTTACCATGATACAGAAAACTTTTGAAGTCAGCAAGCAACAAAAGGTGGAAGTCTGATTGATACCTTTTCTTTGTGTTCTCTTTTTTATCCTTAATGTATATTGGATATGTATGTACTAAAATCACTTCAGATTCTCTTTCAATTCTGTTAATAAAGCGTGAAGCAGGTTAAGGGAGGAGATTCTCCCTCTCTTCTTTGATCTCATGAGACCTGCCCTACAGTCTTGTGTCCAGCTCTTGGACAACAACATGAGGGACAAGGAGCTGTTGGAGGGATCCAGAGAAGGCCACAGAGATGCTGCAAGTGCTGGAGCAACTCTGCTTTGAAACAAGCTGAGGCAGCTGGGCTTGTCCAGCCTGGAGAAGGCTCCAGGGAGACCCTAGAGCAGCTTTAAGTGCTTAAAGGGGCTGACAAGAAAACTGGAGAGGGGCTTTTGACAAGGGCCTGTAAGGACTAGACAAGGGGGAATGGCTTTAAACTGGAAGAGGGGAGATTTAGATTAGACATCAGGCAGAAGTTCTTCCCTGTGAAGGTGCTGAGGCCCTGGCACAGGTTGCCCAGAGAAGCTGTGGCTGCCCCATCCCTGGCAGTGTTCAAGGCCAGCTTGGATGGGGCTTGAAGCAACCTGCTCTAGTTGAAGGTGTCCCTGCTCATGGCAAAGATTGGAACTGGATGAGCTTTAAGGTCCCTTTCAACCCAAATCATTCTAGGATTCTGTGAAATTACTTTACTCAGCTTGATCCTCGTATTGAAATGTGACAAATGCCTGACGGGCATACCCATGAAATGCCAGGGTAAATTTCCTTAGAAAAAGATTATTACTTTTTACAAACATGTGAAATTCAAAACAGATGGTCACCTCCTAGTACTCGGTGTTCTAAGCAGTGTTGTATTGATTCCACATAATGTTCCCTGTGCTTCAGTGTAACCTCAGGTAATTTGGCTCAGGTGACTGAAGCGGCCTTCTGGGCTCAGCTTTCTTTGCTGTGTCATGAGAAAACAGCTGGATACTGAAACAGAGACAGAATTCACAAACAAGGACAGAAGATTTAAGAAGTAAGAAAAATAAGAGGACCTGAAATGAGATGAAACCTCATTGTTCTCAGGAGGGTCTGAGTGACTCAGGAGTTACTAGTAGGACTGCTCCCACCTCTGAGCCACAGCTTTGAGCAACCAAGGACAGTCTTTGTTTTCTGTCAATTTTCTAATATAATCCATAAGATATATCAGGTAGTTAACAAGAAGCATGAACTATCACTGCCATAAGATGCAGCATTTTGGTCCAAATCTATGCTAGGTCTTAGGTCTGGTTGGGATTCAGTACTTTAGGAGACAAGAACAGCCACCATCCATTGGCTGAATGGGCCTTTTGGAATCCATGTGAATTTATGATACAGCATGTTATCATAGATAAAGTGGTAATTCTTGCTACATTGAGATGCCTAGCATACCTGTTAAAGGAAGAAGAGTCAACCATATAATTGACTTCTGCACTATCTCTTATGGATAGATTACATCATGGCTGTGTTGCCTAAAATATTAAATCAGTGATTTCTTTATCAGTGTATACCCACATATGCAAGAACTAACTCTATTTGCTGTGTAGAAAAGTGAAATTACCCTTCAAAAGAAACATAGTTCTTAAAGATGGCTGACTACCGGAGGCAGCCATCTAAGGCCATTAATACGAACATAAGAAGACGGTTCTAGCTCTTTGATGGACTGCATGTTTTGCAAGTACCTCAGTACTGCAGTTGTGAATAAAAAGCAGTGGAGAAAATGTGAGAACTGAATACTGAAACAGATAACCCATGCTACTACTGTCAAAGCACAGAAGTAGGATCTAGCTAATGTGCTGCTTTTTGGTCTGTTGACCATAAGAAACATTATAATCATTTAGTTAACTTAGTTTAGGTCCCTATACTAAGTAGTGTAATTTCAGTGGAAGTGCAGCACCTGGTAGTAAATGATTCTGCATCGTCAGAGTAACAGCTTTCAGTTCAGAACTGCCTTAACTAATCATTTCATCGTTCCCTTGGTCATATTACCTGATCTGTGGGTGTTATTAGTTCTCTTTTTAAGATTTCTAGCTTCTGGACAGGATGCAGCCTGAGGAGCGAGGTTCACTCATCTGTGAGTGATAGGATCAAAAGAAAATAATAGGTCTGACTCACTATTCCTTACTCACTGATTAAAAAAAAGCCACAAAAAACAACAACAAAACAAAACTGAAACACTGCTGCAGTATGCAGTATTGCACAGACCATATCTTTGGCCATTGGTCCTTTTAGAGTCTGTTCTAAGTTAGGCATAGCTGGCCATATGGCACTTAATATGCATTCAGTGCTCCCAAAAGCTTGTTGAATAGCAAATGGCACAACAAAATCCATTGGTTCATTCATGAGTTGGATGATACAGGGAGATGCTTAATAAGGGAATTCTTAATAAGAAGACTGCTTATAGCTAGGCATAGGCACAGACTGATAAAAAGGGAAATTCTGGTCAGGTAGATCGTACCAAAGTTTATCATAGCCTTTTCTCAACCTGTAAATTGTGAAATCCTTGGCTCCTTGTGGCCTAGAACTCCGTTTCAGTTGCAGTGCTCATGTGCTTATTATCTCCTCATCTGTTCTCTGCTGTTGTTGAACAGTGAGTGACTCCTATCTCAAGAACATATTGGGAAACTCAGCTTCACTTTTTAGTGCAGTAGATAACTGAAGTTGCTGTTTTAGTTGTGAGGTAACACCACACTGGATATAGTAATATATATTGGATATACTGATAGTAATTAAAGAGTCATTAGTGGGGTGGAAAAAGAACAGTAGGTGGATGGGGTAAAGTTACAGGATTTCATTTGCTAGCTCTCTGCTGCAAATAAAGTCTTGCCAAAGTTTTGTTTACTTGAATTTCAGTGAAGGAGTCCTACTGATGGAAAGTCCTCTGTGATGTGGACTCCCCTCCTACTGAGAAGAAAAAAAATACTTTTTTATAACAAGCAAGAATAACAAATACATATGCAAAGCTTAGAGAAATATTCTTCCATTAACAGGTAAGGATTTTACTTCCCCATCTTTATTTATGAGTTAAATTAATACAACTTAAATATCCTTGGCTGCTACATAATCAGATTTTGGAAATTAAGTTCTAGTTAGTATTTGTAATTTCTTTGTAAAGACTAGTAACAGGTACTTACAGCTGTCCAGAACAATGTACAGGAAATTACAATGCTTCTTAGTAATCACTAGTTATCTTTACCTAACTATAAGTTAGTGCCTTAAAAATAAGCAAGAGTAAGCATAAAGAATGTTAGGCACAACTGAAATAAAAAATCTTCAAAAGCCACCACTTCATGCCATGTTTTTCCACAGTGAGATTGCACACATTCATAAAACTAAAACAAGGTCCTCACCAGTGCTAAATTTATTGGTTTCTTATTCACTCTACTTCACAAGAGAAGAAAAAATAATGCATTTATTTGCAAGGTGAAGTTTGTATGATATTTGACACTTTGTGCTGCTGCCATAATTTTGTGACCCATAAAAAATAATATCATGAAGTCTGTAAATCTGTTTGCCATAAAACACAGAATACTTGTACCTGTTTTGGTTTGGTTTGTTTGTTTGTTCTTTCCTGAAAAGTGACATCACAATTCACATTATACTTGTTAAAACCTATTAAGACAACATAATTCAGTAAATGAGCTTGACTGTGTAAATAATTACTACTTTCAAACCTAAATTAAGCAATGAATAAAAATAACTTCATTTTTCCATGTACTCAAAAGTTTTGTGTGCGATTAATATACTCTAAAATCATTCTCAACTGTAACAGGAATTTAAGTATGGTCTCTTAAAAATTTACATTACATAAGCATTTTTGATGATCTTACAGGCTTTTTTTTTTTTTTTGAAAGAAAACTTAGTTTTAAACTGTCAAAGTTTCTGTTTTCCACACACAGTCCTTTTCTGTTTCCTGCACACAGGCTTTCTAGAAATCACAGATAATTTTAATGGAAAGTCAAAATGCTGTATTCCTTACACTCTGAGCTTCTAGCCACCTTGCTGAGATTCTCAGCACCAATTTCAAGATGCAGATATCAACATAACTGAACTAGGTTGTCAATGCCAATTCTTTTGTAACACACAAAATAAATCACAATAACTTTTACCTATCTCTAGCTTTTCCTGGACTGCTTAGTAAAGGAAACTGAGAGTATGAGGAGAAATGACTGCTGAGGGAAGGACACAGAATCACATTCATTAGGGTTCTATGATCCTTGTTAGAGATTTTCTGCGCTTACTAAAGCATCTTCTTGCCTGGTTAAAACCACACTTTTTCTTTTGTCTTCCTCTGTTACAGTCTGACTCATCTGTTCAAACAGCTTTGCTATCTTGACAAACCTCAGGTGATTCTGAAATCTTCGTGCAGCAAAAGCATAAAGTAGAGGGTTAATTCAGCTACTGATGAATACAAGTGCTCCAGAGATGTACATTCCTCTGTCTACAATTTCATCCAATGCCAAAGACATTTCCTTATTAGAGAGTTCTATGTGAATTGAAACAACATCTAGGATGTTAAAGAGATGATGAGGGAACCAGCATGCCACCACAATGCTGGCAATGCTGGCAATGAGCCGCTCTGATCGCCACTTAGATTGATAAGTAATTCTGCTTATTCTTGCAACACACATGTAACAAGTGCAGATAATTAAAAAAGGGATTACAAAATCTGCAAGAGTCTCCAGCAAAAGATACGACACTTTCTGTCCATTAGAAGAGTAGTTGCGTCATGTGTATAGTAGTTGACCGTTCATTTCTTCTGTCTCTTGAAATGGAATGACAGAAATGCCAAAAGTAATAGATAGGAACCAAATGAGGAACATGATTAAAACAATCTTTTGTTTTGTTAATTAACCCTTAACCGCTCCAAGCTCAGTGCTGTAATTAGAAATATACTAGCATACATGCAGTAAATAATGAAAACCAGTATTTTGCAGATGACGACTCTAAACACCCATGAGTCAGCGAAGGAGTAAATCCAAATTGGTAAAGTAATCAGTACAAGGACATCTGCAATGGCGAGGTTCAAGATCAGCAGGACTGAAGGAGATGCTTGCTTCATTTTGGTACAAACAGTCCAGATGACGATACAATTTCCAGGGGTCCCAATAATAAATGACAAACTCAGTATTACACAGACTACTGACCTCACAATATTCCATATTGAGTGCATACTGCTTTCCTCATCTTGATTCATGCTGGAAATTCTTCAGTTCTTCTTGGTTGCTAATATCTTTGGTACTTTGTGCCCTGCTTTTATTCTGTAGGTATTAGTGAAGTACTTGGAAGTTCTCTAACTGGTCTTCTGAAGACTAATACAGCACATGAACTCATGTCTTAATGTTCACACTTGCAAATATCTGACTGCATATAGCAGTTCCTGCAGTTCAGGAAGACTGTGCACTTCTGCATACAAAGAGAAAATAAAGATACAGTGCAGCATCTGACTTTGTTTTTAGTTATACACCCATCATACTTTAGCAGATTTTACAGCATGCCAGTGGTCTTCCAAAAGAAGCTTGCTACTTTGTTCAACTTACTGATCTAAGCAACACCTATGAGGAGAAAGCAAGCCTCTTTATGCTATTCGACTCATTTATATGAATGAATAACACTTCATAAAAGTCAGAAAAGAGGGGTGGCAGATAAATTACGAATGCGCATTATGTTTGACATGAAATTCTATCCCGAAGAATGAAAAACAGTGCTTACTGCCTTCATGTAATCTTTTTTAATTCAGCAGGAAACAGCTGAACATTCTTTAGAAATATGCTGGCATAAAGGAAATCAACATTTTCTTATACTGAGACACTGCTGGTACAATAAAGCGGGTGGGAGTTGTATCTCTAATGCTCTGGGAAACTGCAGTCATTTAGCCAAACAATAACCATCAGAATAGTCTGCATATAGAGTTATAGGAGGAAATGCTCTTAAGTCTGAGAAAAAATGCATTATGCTGTCCTCCTCCTGCACCAGCAATGGGCTATGGCTTTATCTTCTAAGTAACTTGGTAAGTCCTCTGTGAATCCTAAGTTCTTCAGTGTCTGGCCAGAGAAAATGAAAATATTTTGTTATCCTGATGTCAAAACATCTTCTGAAGTTCATTTATAAAATGTTAAAGGAGGAATTAGATCAGCAGCACACACGGAAATGGTCAAGAGTCACAGAAGTGAAAGTGGATGGGTATTTTCCATAAAAAAGATCCACAGAAGAAGTTATGTGTAGTGCTTTTAAATTTAAGATTGTGTTACAGATTATTTCCCTAACTGTTGAGGTAGAATTTTACAAAGCTGGCAAATGCAGAGTATGATATTAGGTTGAAAAGTATCTTTCACCATGGAAAAAGGGTTGCATCACCACCACCTCCAAATCAGCTTAGCTGGTTTTGATCTCGTAAGAGCATAATGAGATCAAAAGCAAATCCATAATAACTCCACTAAAGTCAAGTATTATCTCTTCAAAATGCTATTTGTGTAACAAATATTTTAATGTGGATTTAATCTGTTACACGATGCCAGTTCCTTTTATTTTTAACTACATTTAATACAGATTGGGTGGGGGAAAAAACCCAAACCAGTAGTTTGTACTCTAAAGGGAATTTCTTAAAACTACTTGTGAAAATCAACTAATGAAGGGAAGTGATAGGCAATGTCTTTTCTTCTAAGGAAATTACCTTTCATTATTTCTCCAGAAGTAACTTTGGAAGAGCTCTGTATTCATTTATTGGCAGTGGCAAATAGAGACTGAACTAAGTTACAGATTTCTATTAGAAAAAAATAAAATCAAGGAGAGATGCCCAGTATCTCAGTAGCCCCAGTGCTACAGGACAGGCAGGTTCTTTTAGGTAAATTCTCAATCTAGATTATTACCACACACTTTTATTAAGAATTTGAGCTTGTTTGCAGAGGGCCTTGGTAACTCTAGATTGTAAGAAAGCTGTACTGATTATTAGACATTCTGCTTAACATAAAGCCATAATTGCTAAAAATTCTGTGTATCAGTAAGCTGTGCTACCTGCTAGAAATTGCAGATAACAATTAGCTATTATGCAACTTTTTTCTTTTTTTTATGTCATAGGAACTCTTTAATTGTAACTACACTCTCATGCTACCAGGGATCCCTAAGAAAACTTGTACTTTCCTGTGACACCTCTAAGATTTCCCTCTTAAAAACTTCCTTTTTCGGTGGCAAAGAGCATTTGTCTGTACACCTGTTGGTGCTGGTATTAGTACAGTTCTAACTCAGTGGTGTATGGATCTGGTTGAACTTTTGAAGCACCTATCTTTCCATTTTTCAGAAACGCGTTTCTCCACTTCATCGAAGTTTGCTTGCCAGATGACCTCTGCTTCTGGCTGTATCTTTCATTTAAACAGGAAAACAAAGGAATAGCACAGTTTCAGCAACAGCCTGGGAGTCTGTTTAAAAAAAAAATAAATCCCAGACAGATGTTGAAATGCTAAGACTTCCTTGTGTAAGACTCTGAAGACATGCTATTAGACCTAATATCACAGGTATTAGGGTTAATATTAGCTAGAGAGCATGTCTCTGAAGAGCTCTGACTGTTGGATCTCTGTGAAAGCTTTGAACTATTTGTAAGCTGTCCTTAATATTCTCCAGAAGTGCCTGACCTTTACTTGTCAAATTTACACTAGTAGTACATGAACTTTATGGCAAATTTAACAAATATTTCCATTAGCAATGGGAGCAGTGTAGTATGTTCAATAATATGCTGAACATGCCAGTGGCTGAACAACTCAGTATCTTCCTCATTCTAGTGAGCAAATGTGGGTTGGGCTTTTAATGCACAAACATGCAGTTGGACTTTTGACCCCATAAGCTCTGATCTAATTCTATTAACAGCAGTGAAGTTAGGCTGCATGTCTGTGTTTATAAACAAAAAGGTCTAAACCTTTGAAGTTTTTTGTGTGCATACATATGTGTAGTGTAGCAATTCAGCCATTAACATATCAAACTTTGAGTTTGTTACCTTGAGATTGGTGAATAACCTCTGAAAACTTTCCAAGCTCAAGACGTCTGTGCTACTGCTAACAAAACAGTTAAAACAGAATTTGATCTTTATATATTAGGGGCGTGTTTCTGTCATCCTTTTAATGATTTATTTTTCTTTGTATGCAAGCATGACCTTCCCCCTCGTGGATGGTCTGTAACTTAGACTACTACTAAGCATATTCAGACAGCTGTGTTTGGACCACTAAATGTAAATTACAACTGATATTTCCAGCTCTTGCATATTTACTCCGAAAATCAGATTTTCACTTCAAGATGCTAAGAATCTTTGGGATAGCAGCCTCTGCTCAAATTGCATCATCCCTCCCTGCAGTAAGAGCATACCTGTAACAATTTACACAGTAGCTGATGCATGGGAAATCAGTGTTGCATACCTTGTGTGAATAGCTGTACCAAAAAGACTTTATAAATGCTCTCCAATTTCTTCTTCAGAAGGATCTCCTGGATGTTTGTGAATGCAGGATAATGATCACCAAGTATGATGAGTCTGCTGAGAAGCTGGAAACTAATGTTAGTAACCATGTTTGCCTACCAATGCTGAAGGGAACAAGTGACTATTCTCAACACTTTTGTTCTTCAGCCATTGAAACAAGGTAGCATCTGCAGAACTGGCAGAACTGGCTTACAATAAACTCGATTCAATTGTGCTATTAATGACAGTGTGAAAGCGGCACACTTTACTCTTATCAGAAAATTATGGTCTAGTAATGTAGCTCATCTAAATGTTGCTTTCTTGACTATAGGAAGGTCTCCTGTATACATTGGATCTCATGGTGTTTTGCAGCAGCTAATAATGTCTTTGCTCTGTGACTACTGAGAAGGAAAGTGCAGTGTGGGAAAAGGCATGTACCAGACATTTCTAAGGTCTTGCAAATACTGCTTGTGACACCCGTCCATGAGGCAGCAAGTACAAATGAGAACACTCTCAGCGCTGCTTTATCACCAGAGAAAATAACTCAGTGAAGAGCTACCCTGGGATCAGCTCCAGGATGTAATAAGACATGTGTACCTTGCACTATAAATAGAAAGTTTGGAAGATTCTGTCCCATGTGCGTTATTGTTAATCAGTCATCTCATATGACAAAATTATTCCCCTTAGTCAGCTCAGTAGAAAATACTGATAGCTTTATAGTTTATAGACTGGCCAGAGAAAAGATCTCCTGTTTGTTATGTTCAGGGAAAACTGCTTTAAAACTTGTGATAGGAGGAGTGCTTACAAGGCAACTGAGGTACGTGCATCAGCACATGATTACATAATGGTACCTTTCTTACCCTAACAGAATGATTACAGACAACCAGAACAGGTTTCCAGCAGCTGTGAAACTAGCCAAGTGTATGGCGAAATATTCTCCTTGTACAGACATACCACGTTCATGAGAGGTGCTAATTAAGATAGTGGAAAAATGTATTTACAATTCTGACTATAGGCAGGAATATGAACAACAATGATGCAGAGATTATAGGAAAATTTAAATATATTCTCAACATTATTATGAATGTATATAGTTTAAATTTCCTTTTATTTATAGTTCAAACAGTAAATGCACAGATTTGTTACAATTTAAGGAAAGACTCTGGTCTTTCTGAATTAGCTATCACTAAGTTATTATTTGTATAAATACAAACTGTTGCTAGCCAATACCCTTATCTACACAAGCATATCTGGCATCACAACTGCCACCAGGTAAATCAAATACATTGTTTACATTCTCTTCCTTTTGAGTAATAAATTACTGATGATAAACACTGCTTGGATGATTTGCTGCCAAACGTTACTTTCTTTTTCCTTGTTCTTTAACTAAATCTCCTGCCATTCCTACCTCATTTGCTGGGATTGCATGTAAATATCATAGTACTATAGGCTCAACATCTCTTTTTGTTATCCAGCAGTGTAATGAAAGTCTTCAGCAGTGCATCTCTTCGTGAGGAACCTGTGATTAAAAAAAAAAACCAAACCCATACTTTGCTGAGCATGAATGGATGGTAGGTGTCATTTTGCACGTAAACCAAGTGTACGCTATTTCCAACGGCATACCCTTACGTAAAAGGGTTTGTCCATGTAGTTACGTGTTTCAACACAGGGTGGCACTGGGTAACCATCTGTGGGTTTTTTGCCAAGTTCGTAGGCTATGGAGGCATAGCCTTTCTATGCACATGGTGCACGGTGGTCAAGGCTGAGACCTTCTTTCGAATAAGAAGTTTCAAAGTTTGTGACTTAAATTGCAATATTTTTCTGATTTATTGCTGACTTCATAGACAAAAATTACAGTGTCTTTTCTGTCTTGTAGATCATGTTATTTTCTACATACTCGTATTTGTAGCTTTTTTAGTGCTATTTTGATATATGTACATTTCCATTGTTAAATTTGGCTGCAACTAATATAGTAACGGCAGCTCCCTGTGCAACAAAAGAAACTTGTGATCTGATTTCATTTTCTACACCCTTGAAGTACCAAAATTTGGAAAGTTTGGCAATGATATGAACAATTGGTCCTTCAGTGTAGTTTCCATTTGTGTGTTCTTGCAGTCTCTTTGAAAAGCAGATCAAGTTGCAAACACTCATGTTGTGAAACAACCCTGCTCATCACATTAGGGCTGCTTCTGAGTCTTATTTAATTCCTTTAATACATGAGCATTAAGCCACTTGCTTGGGCCCTATTGTGACACAAAGTCTTGGTTTTGTGTCCTTAATCATAAGGCTGGTTAACCATGCTGAAAACTGAAAGACTGTACTAATTTCATGAGGAATATAGAGACTTTCTTCTGCTCTGTAGCAGCCACATAGGTGTGTTAGCTAAAGAAACTTGTACACAAATGCTTCCACGCTCAGTCACTCAGTAATTACCATACTTGGTATGTTGTTCTGCACAGCTGGAGAAGTTTTCACATTGTACCATGTTGGTCTTCAGAATGATCTTGTCTAAGCATTCTTAATCTGGAATAAAAAGTAATTAGAATGGGTTCTGTGATGTCACACACAGCTACAGTAACAGCTATTTACTTAACACATAATACATTGTATGGGAAAAATGTGAGACATGCAGTCTTCAGGCATAGGTAACTTTCTATCATTATGTAAAGTGAGCTATTGCTTCTGTAGAATTTATATATAATATTAAAAACTGCTGTGAATAATGATAACTTCATTAAATGAAGCAAGTGTTTTCACTGGCAAAAAGCGCTAGCACAATTTTCTCAATTAAAAATCTTAATATTTACAAATTTTAACAGAATATAAAGCTAATAAACTCTAAAGTAATGCGATCTCATATTATTCCTACATTTGACTCTTGCACCGAACAACATGATCTAGGTTTAGGCATTCTTATTTTTTATGTGGTTGTGTCAGAGCAGAAAGTCCTGGTAGCCCAGTGTCTTGTCTCTGCTGAAAGCCTAGGGGTGAACAAGCTATGTGTGACTATACTTGCCACACATACGCTCTGACATTTAGCCAATTACAGCTGAGGAGTTTCCTGTGCACTTAATAAAGCTTTGTGGACATTTACTGTGTAGACTTCCTAAGTCTATCCTTGAACTCATGTAAACTTACAGCACTGCAGCTTTAATACATGCTGTGTGAAGAACTACCTCCTCTTGCTGTTCGCTAGTCTCCTGTCAGCTTCATCTGGCTTCTCACAATTTATATGTTGGAAGAAACAGTGAACAGTTGATTCCTAGACTTCATTTGGTTAAACCCTACCTGATCTGTCAGACATTTCTTATTTCCAGACTGAAAAGTTCTTGCCTACATGATCGATCTCTCACAGAAGCCATTCCACATCTTTCATCACCACTGCTGCCTTCTCTCATCATTTAGCTCTTTTAGATTCTCTGAGATGGAAAATCAGCCTAGTTCTGAAGTTCTCAGTTAAACTGAAGTGTGCTGCACAGGGAGAATAAGAGAAATCAAGTCACAGGGAGGTCTCAAGTCTGTTTCACCCTGCTACAGTGTAAAAAGGAGAACAGCTTGGTTGTCTATCCTTAAACTGCTGTCAAAAAAGTCCTTATTGAAAAAACAAATAAAAATGGAATAATTTAGTTTACATTCAATCCCCAAAAATAATAATTAGGTTTGTCTTTTTTTTTTTGTCAATGCCAGTCTGTGCTTCAGAATTTGAAGATGTTCCAAAGGTCACTGTGTCATTCTTCATTTACTCCAGATGCTCCACAATCATGGAATCCTCATGTGATGCAATTACTTTGTAATTCTTAAACCACGGGTTGTCTTCTGTCTGATAAAGCTTTGTATCTGCCTGCTATGCATCCTATTCTGTGCATAAACCATTAAAAGTCAAGTATCATTTAAATATGCTGTTATTTGGTATTGTATGAAAGGCAGGTTTAACTGTGTATGTTAATTTTTTTCTTGCTATCTTTGTGTCTTGTTATGCTCATCTGTGTGGGAAGCGTTTAGTCTCTGATGGTGTTGAATGGTATCTCTTCTAACATCTGTTCTTTCCCTAGACAGCAACTCTGTGACTGCTTTTTTCATGATTGCTGTTTTCCTGTCATTTGAGTTGCTATACACTGTCCAAGTTGTGTGGTATCTGACCACAATGTTAATAAAACTATTGCTATAGCTTTAGTGCCTTGGTTCCCCTCTGCAGTAGTTGGATGTATTTCATGCTGGCATTACAAAATGTTTGCGGTGTGCAATATATCAGAGTGCTATCTTTGGGCACATTTTGAGATCTGTTACTGGGTGAAAACCAGACTACACTGTAGAGAAAACACGGCTAGGGCTCTAGCTAGGCACTGCTGCTGAGAAGCAATTGATCATATTATTAGGAGTCCTCCCCCATGACAAATCACAGACCCAGTCACAAGCCTTACCCAAATTCTAGTCCTCTGGATCAGGTTTTGAACAATGCTAGGCTGAATTTCTAGTTAAGGAGGTTTACTAGGTTATTGCTTATCATCTTGTAATACCATATTCTATACAAGGTTATACAAATATCAAGAAGACAACTGTAAATCACATAAAACCAGAACTGAAACAGACATTTAAACAGAAGTTCTATTTTATAAATTATCCTTTCTATGTTATCTGAGAAGAGTAATCTTCTGTAAGCACAACATAAAAAAATCAGCACTATCAGCTTGCCAAAATGAGGAAACTGAGTAAGACAGAAGCTTTGAGAGAATTTTCTCCACCTAATCAAGGCATCTTTGTAGCCCACAACCACAGCAAAACTATTTTCACAAGTTATGTTAGGATGAGGTCCAAGTAAAAGAGTTGAAAATTGTGTTAACAGGAAATCATGAGACCAATTCATCTGCCACATGAAGCTCATAGATTTCTTGCTTTCAGCGGAAAACTGTTTTTTTTGCATGATAGCAGTACCCCTTCCCTACCACTTCTTCAGCATGTAATCTGAGCAGCTTCCCTTCCAGCTGCCAAATTACTTTCACTGTATCATGAAGAAACTCTTAATAGTGTTAGTCTATTAACATATTGGCAATGTAGCATGGCAGCAATATTTTCATAATCTCAAGGTGTTTATAGAACACTAAATTAAAAAAAAAAAAAGAAGAAAAAATTGTTCCACTGAATCCATTTTCTCAAAAGTACTATGTCCAGCCAGTGTTTGGCAAGTTTTCCCTTTCTAACATGTCCACAAATTACTCTAAATTACCATTTTTTTTTAGTTTAAAACATGACAGGTTAGTTCATTGCCCCCTGTTCAAAAGGTTCTTCACTCAGTGTTAATCCCATAAATGGGTTTAATGAAATGGTGAAATTTTAGTAGAATTCTCATTTTACATTTTCCTTACATTATTTGCCCAACAGAACTATCAGAATAACTGCTTTAAATCTGATCCTAGCTATGATCTGAACAAAAGGATTAGAATAATGGCCTTCAAAAGTCCCTTCCTACCTTAATTTTCCTGTAATTATATTTTTGCACTGACACATTTGACACAGCCTGACACAATGCTACTTATGATGCTGCTGATTAAAGCATTTTCCCATTGCATTATTTCCCATTAACCATTCCCAACTGCCTGTGTCCCTCAGCCTAGAAAGGAACTATGTCCTTACAGGAATGATCAAGCAATACTTTCTAACTTAACGTGCCAAGCGGATGGGATAGTAAGTGTCTGTACACAATTTACATGCATTTGTAGGCTATCTATCTCTTTCTTTGGAAAGCGGCATCAGCCAAACAGCAGATGAGGCTTTTATTCTTACATGCACTGACAGTCAAAACTCAGACCTGACTGGGACTTTCTTATTTGGTTCTTAGCTGTAGCCAGTTTTCCTACTCACATCTAATTTTTAATGGGACAATCTAAATTTAAAGATTAGAAAATAAATAGGGGGTCTATGTACATTACAGCTCCACATCCAAGAAGACCATTCGCTTTACAGATGCATCCTTTAGTGGGACTGAATGTTTCAGATCCAAAGAGTCATAATTATAAAATGATGAAAAAAAAAAAGATTCCACATTCCTTAAACTCAGTTTAACTGTCCTCAGCTCTTTTTCAAATGCACTCAGTAAAGAGGAACTCTCTTATTGTTTATCAACTTTAGTCTCCCAACAAATATGATCTGTCAGATGTTTTTCCATCCTTCTGTGTTGGAACAATCTAGCAGGAGTTTCAGTTCTTCTGAACACACTTGTGTTTCTATAAATGAGTTCACTCTTGCCAGTGATCAACTGGATCTAGTAGTAGCAATGTTGTGTCTTCTCACAAGTAACTTTGAGCTAGCAAATTTCTTAATCCCTGTATTTCTCAGGAACTTCCCTGACAGTCTGCCCCACTGGAATACCAAACAGGTGCGACCCTGAATGAAATTGCTTATTAAGCAGAAGACTAGTGGTCTCCTTGCCTCTTCATTATATGTGGGCTAGAATCCTGAAATGCTGCTGTTTGACTCATGTCACATGACAAACAAAATTTCTTTTGCTTTTTTTGACAAGTATGTCACTGCATCTTTACCACTCTGGCAGTCTTGTAAGACAAGTTAGCCTTACAATACCAGCATGCTGAATTCTGCTTTTTCTCCAAAACTTCTCTCCACCTGAATACTACCTTGTCTGCAGGTCAAAACCCCCTTGTTAGCTCTCTGCCTCAGAGGGTGCAAACAGTTGCTCCGCACAGCAAAAAAATGTCAGGTTCTACCACTCACGCAATGTGCTGGGAAGTTGCTGTAATTTACGGTAACTTGTGCAAGACTAAAGTTGTCCCTGAGGGTTCAACCTACTCAGTTTTCATCACAACACAGATTATATTTTCAACTTGTTTCCTCATATACTCATCCTACACAAAATTGCATCTCCTCTTTCCATCTTCCTGAATGGTCTCTTATTACTAATTCCATATTTTGCCTAGCTTCAATTTTAAAATTCTTCAGTGGTCCAAACCAGAATACAAACCTTCTTGAATAAAACTCCCCATACCCAAGTATCAGCATTCTTGCTAAGAATTTCACACTCCCACAGCTGAACAAAATTCTCTTTAAGCAACTCAGCTTGTTAGTTATTAGATCTTCATAATTTACTATAAAGCTCTATTATGTGGATGGTTTACAAGGATGAATTGATTTGCTTTAGCAAAACATAAGCCAAAGAGTCATATGATCCCTATTATACAGATTAGAGTTTTGAAGATAGGAGAGATGACAATGCCAGGATCTGTTAATTGTGGCTATCCTACCTTGGCAAACAGCTAGGTTCTGCTCTTCTAGGTTGATCACGTAAGGCTGCACTTCCATACTCCTACTAGACAACTGCCCTCTTCCCTTCCTTCTGGCCCTGTTCTGCACTGTAATAAAACTTAGCCTGAAAGACACTGAATTTTGGTTAATGTCCTAATACCACTGAGCATTTCCTCACCCTGAGCAGTGTGAGGAACAATATGGAAGTGAATATGAAGTATTGAGGAAGCAGGGAGAAGAGAATGGGAGGGAAAGTACTTTTATAGCCTTGTTTCAGCATGTTAGAATCTGTTTTGGGACTGTGCTGCTGTGCTTACATGCAAGTACAGCTGGAGCATTAACAAGTGTTGCTTAGCAAGTGCAGTGACTTTTTAGAACATCTGCCAACCTGTCCAACAGTGGATTTAAAAAAAATGTCATCTTTGTTAAAAGTAAGAATCAATACCTTCTTCAGGCAGTCCAGCAGTGGAACCCTCCTCTGGCTAGTTTAACAAAACTGGGCTATAAATTGAACTGAATCTCTGGTATTTTTATGGAATCTTCTGTATGTAAAGTTTTACTCTGAAGAAATACTATTACATAACCTTGTGCTGCTATTTAAAAGAAAAAAAAAAAAAAGGCAAAAAAAGCCTCCTTCCAGTGCACACTCAGCTCTTAAGAAAAACATATGTTCATGACTGTCCCCCTTTCAGGTCAGCTGCCACGTGTAAGTGTTATTACAGGTCAGTCACAACTGTACTAAAGCAGATCGTACAGGTATGACTGACTTCAACTGGGTCTTAATTCTTCAGAAGGAAGGGATTAAACTTGCTTTTTGTCTCCTAGTTGAGTTTTAAGAGCTGGCATTTGTTGTTCAAAAAACCCTAAACAATTATCTTGATCTGTAGACAGTGAAGAAAGATCATATTGGTGCTGCATGATTCTAGTGCTGCTTTTTCAACAGAAATTCATACTTAAACAATGGCCAGGATTCCTACTGATGTAGGAAAACTTAGAACAGTAGAGCTGCTGTCAAGGAGCACTGGAAACCCTTGTGGTACAGGTAGAAGAATTATTGCGGGTGGGGTGAAATCCCAGCTTCTTTAAAAAAATCTGTATTCTCTAATGAAGCTTAAAACTGAACAAGTGAACTATTTTGAATTTGAACTTTATGGAATTGGACTACTTGTGGCAAACTAAAAATGTATTACTCCAGTAGTCTTCCTAAGTTCCTTACATCTCTGTATATGTTATTTTTTTATCAATGCATAGGTTTATCGAGATTCCTGGATAGGCTGGACTTCTCACCCATTGATTCCTCCCTGGCCTTGGGAACAAGTTCAAACTTGTGCATATGAACACAACTTATTTAAAGCTGAACACAGGCTTGCCTGTGATGTTTGGGTTTGGAAGAAAAGTCACAGGTTTGGTTTATAAAATTTTCCAAAGACAAAGAGAATTCTGGGGAATTCAAGAGGAGGTGTCATATTAACACATCGAGGAAAAAATGAAATGGGCAGCAGATGCTGTCTACACACTCAGTAACAAGAAAGATGATGAAAACAAATTGCTGCAAATCGACCCAAATATTATTTTTGTATACATAATATCAAACATCTTACTAAATCTTTACCTTCTTTCTTGTTTAAAAGGCTCCTGATAAGTGTCTGCATTTCAGTGTTCTCATTTTCACAAAGGTTGGATTCTGGGTCTCAGTGATAATTTTATTGGTGCAAATTCAAATGCAAAAGCTGGGATGGCTGGTAAAGTCTTGTGAGATAGTGAAGACAAGATAGCACGTTTCTGAAAGATATGACTAGTGATGATTGTGTTAACGTATTCTGAACTTGGTAAATTCCTGAAGGAAACACAGTAACAGTGGGAAAAGTGCTGGCATGGACTTTTGCCCACATTGTAGATCTGTACCAAGCCTTGGGTTCTCTTCTCATCTTTCTTTGAAACTTGCTGGTTTTCTACTAGTGTGTCCAGATTAGCACAGTCATGCTGGGGGATACTTGAGCCAATACAAACACTACTTAACTGGCAAAGATCAGAAGCAAACAGAGAACTCTGTTCAACCAAATAAAAGATGTTTAAGCAAATAGTGATTTCTGGAAAACATTGTTTCTTTTAAATAACGAGTATGTAAACTCATACCCAATTCATGGGTTTTGTCAAGGTGGCAGTGCAAGCACCCAAGGAGTCTTGAACAAGAGTCTTAAACAGTTAGTTCAAATCCAGAAACTATCAAACTCCTAATATTATATTTTCAGGTGTTTAGAAATAGTTTATTTCTGGTGCACTTTTTTGAAAGAATAATATTATTTTAAAAGACTCTTTATGCATATTAAATAACACTCCACAGTGGTTAACAAACTGGCCTCTGGAGTATGGATAATGATTTTTTTCATTTCATATGTAAGTGAAAAAGGAGTAGTACTGCTTTCATCAGCAGTTTCAACTTTTGTAACTTCCTTTTTCATTTCTAGCCAGCTCTGGATACAAAACATGTGGAGGAAGCAGTACACAGCATGTACTTTGTGTAATAATAAGATTGCTGGCATTCTACTGGTAGTTCAGACCTGTAGCTGTTTCTGTTATTTCCTGAATTTGCATTGGAAGATGACTACTAGAAAGAATGACTAGTAGAAAGCTACACATGGTCATGTTCCTGAATTGCTGCCCTGCTGTCAAGTCATTCTTTATGGAGAAAGAGCTGGAGTGCCTTTCTGACAAAACAGCACTTAGAAGTTACACTGACAGTATTAATAGCAGGATATCTACTGTAAAGCAATGCTAAGGAACTCTTCAGTGCGTCAAGGTTCCTGGTGTTTGTTGGTGTAAGTGGTAACAGGCACTCAGCGTGAAAAAAGACATTTGCTGTGCATATTTAAACAACTTTATGAAGCAAAAGAGCTCAATTTACTTTAGTTTTGAATGTGAATGGTCTTGATCTCAGAAGGAGACAACAAAAGAAATAACTTACACTACTTGATTTATCACCTGAATGGCAGTTACCTAAAATGCCTGGACTTTCGGAGCAGGAGGAATAGCAATTATCCGCTTAGCAGGCTTTTCCTGGAGAAGTATAAGATGGAAAAGCTTCTCTTGAAGTGTGAAGATATTTCCAGATGCCAGAAAAGCAGAGAGACTTGTAAAAGAAATATTAAGATTAGTTTGAATTGAGTATGTAAATGTGTTGTACCTTGAATAGGACAAATAAGGCAATGCTTACAAAAAAGACACGATACTCAAGGATGCAAAGAAGAGCAATCAAATTGGTAAACACTGAAAAATGCAGGGCTTACATCAAGACAAAGAGGCCTGTGCTCCAAGAGCCCTACAGCAGAAATACCTATAAGCAGAAGACCTGCCTTCTGTTACAGGAAGATGAAAGTTACACAAGCCATTCCTCTTTCTGTTAGCTAAATTGGAAGAAAGATTACTTTGAAAGGAGGAACAAAGACAACAGGCAGTGAACCTTCCCAAGATTTACAGAAGGTGAAATAAAAGACTGCAACAAACAAAAAAATCGTATCATAATAACTCATTCCTAAAAGGCACAGAAAATCTGTCCAAAACCTGTTTTGATGTTATCCAGGGGAACACATCCTTGAATCTTGTGTAATAGCACAAGTGATCCTGGCCTTTGGACAAGTGGATTTTGAGGATTGTGAGTCCAGGGGTATGACAGAATGACTGTGACTGAAATCGGTTTTCTTTAAATATAGTTCTATCCTTCCATAAGGTCTTTTGCTGCATTTTGTAATACTTAATTACTACGCCAGGGTCAATGTTGCAATCATTTTTATTCAGTCATACTTGCACAGCCTGTAGTTTGTTTCAGTAGGAAGTCATTTCAAGTCAACATTTGTGTGGTGACTAAGCACCTGTCTTTGGGGCAGGCCTTTGGGTCTAGTGGATGTCAACACCTTTCCACTAATTGTGGATGTCAACACCTTTCCACTAATTGTAAGTATACAAGGTGTGGCAGCTGCCTTGAAAAAGGCAAGCCTAGGTATAGCCTAAGCTGCCTGATGTAATTTGTTGCATCTTCTTCCTATGTAGTATTTCAGGAGGAAGATGTGTCCTCCTCCTCCTTCCATGTCAATGCCAAACCACTCCCATCATGTTTCTGAACTCCTGTCAATAGGTTGTGTATCTGCTCTACCAGATTCTGCCCTCATGCACATGTCCTTTTTTACATGTCCTTCTCTAGGAATTACGGATGTTGTTGAATATTCAGTGAGGCAAGAACAGCTTCCATGTTATACCTTACGTGTATATACCTTATGTGTAGCTGGTAGGAGTTCCTAAGTCAATGAGTAGTCTTCTACTTGTCTCCCATGCCCAGGCTTTCATTTGTGATCATGTTCATTCTAGTGTATTAACAATCCAAGGTAGGAATATTTCTGAAAATTAGTAGACGGGAGATGTCAGAAGCTGTGCCCTTGTTGCAAAGTAGCCCTATCAGAAATAGCAGGGATTGATAACACCCGGCGCAGTCTGTGTCCACTGAAAGAGTGAACCAAGGAAACCTTGTCTTTGCCCATCAGCACAATCATGACTGATCATAAGACGTGCTGACACGTGCTCCAAGTACCATTTTCTTCTCTGTTTAGAGTCTGATTCTTCCTCCCCTCCAGAACCAGGCACACACCAAACAACATGTACTTCAACTGAGCACGTAACTCCTAGTAGCCAGTATAAAGGCTTATATTCCTTCTGGTTTTAAATTACTGTAATTACAAGTCTACCTGTTCCTGTAACATGTATAAAGGTCTAATGACTTTTTCTTCGCATTGAAAAATTCCTGACCTCAACGATACTGTGTACCAATTAGCTGTCACATTAGTCAGACATTGCTGAAGTACAGCTATGCCCATAAGCTTTCATATCAGATGCCCTTGACAGCGTAATACCCTATTTCCCACCTCTGCTAAGTATCGTTTTTCCTTAAGCCATTCTGACCACGCCCCTTATGTGCTACAGATTTTGATGCATGAGCTTTGAAGAACACGCTCCTTACTTTATTTTGATAAGTCATCACGGCTCCACAGCTGTAGGTGCAGCGATGCGGGGCGAAGGCGCTCCCCCCGCAGCACGCTGCCTCCCTCCCTGAACGCCAGCCGGGACCAGAGGCCCTACTGCGGGCTGCCGTACCTGTCCGCTCTGCCTCACGGCCTGCGCCGAGGCCGCGGCAGCCAGGAGACTCCAGAAGCTGGGAGAAGTTGGGGTTCAGCACATTTTCAAAGGTTTCTGTGGGGCTGCTGAGGAGAGCAGGCACTCCCACCCCCTGAACCCGCCCGAGCTCAGATGCTCGGATTATCCGCAATCGGCTGGCGACGCCTGCGGGGCGGGGCCTGCTGCCGGTGGGGCGGACCGGGCCGTTTTCTGTCCGGGCCGGGCGGCGGCGCCGTATTTCGGCATCTCGGAGGGAGCGCGGTGTGCGGCTCCCGGCCCCAGGGTTATGCGCTGAGGTGATGGTCCTGCCGGCTGGCGCCAGGCTCCTCCCGCGCTCGGGAGGGAACCCGTACCTCAGCCTCCTTCTCCTGCTGCTGTTGTGCCCCGGCGGTGGGTGCCTGCCTCGCCGCCGGCCCGCGGGGCCGCCCGTGGTGCTGGGTAAGAGTCGGGGGACGGCGGTTGGGTGCATCTGGCGCCGCGGAACCGGGTCACACCGCCGTGTCCGCTGTCGTGCCGTAGGTGGGGAGGCAGCAGGAGGCCCGGGCGCCTGCAAAGCGCGGCGGGCACTGCCGTGGGGTGCGCTGGCCGCCCGGCTGTAGCCGCAGCTGCCCGGAGTGCTTCGCTGAGCGAGCCGCGTAGGGAGCGATCGCGCCGCTGCGGGTACCGCGGGGCGCCGCCAGTGGGCACGGAGCGTCTTCTCCGTGACTGTCCTGACCCGGCCGCAGCGGCGAGAAACGCGGACCCGGGCCGGGTCGGGGGGCCGGGGGCAAATCCACTGCAAATACTGGGTTTTCTTAAGTTGTCATCGAGTACGGGGAGCATACGGCTCGCGTAAACACTTGTTTAGCTCATTAATTACAAACAGGCCCTCGGCTCTCAAGTTTTTACCCTATACGACCCTTCGTCAAGGGGTTTGGAACGAGATGTGGGAAGAGCAGCATGTGCGTGTTCTAGCAGCGAAGCCACAAGCGTCTATAAACATCACAGGCCTGTTTCATTGCACAGCATGCAAAATGGATATGTATTACTGGCCTGTGGTTTCACCTGTTAAGACAAAATAACTTGTAATGAATATGTAGACATATATTTCTGTAATGGTTACTGTGTACTGTTTGTTACGTGCTGTTTGTAGGAATTGATAAGGAAAATTGTAAATAAATTTGAAATGTTTTAGTAACATCTTCCTGAATTGTGAATCTTAAGGGTTCCAATACATTAAGTGTATTTGGTGATATTAATGTCAGCAGTCAGTCCTGTGAGCATATTCCCTATGTTTTTATGCAGTCAACTGTTGGTAAAGGGGGAAGAAAAGTAGGAACGTGTGGAAGATAGTGGGAAAAGGTTAATCAGTGGCATGTTCTTCAGTTTATATGTAATAATTCAGGCTCTGTTGTTGGCTTTTACTGTTAAACTTCTGACCTGAAAGTGTAAATGCTAAATGGGAACTTTTGTAAGATGCTGTGTACTTTGGGACCACCATGAGCAAGCTCACCATCCTCAGCAAACAGCTGAACTGGGAGGGTGTAGAGGTGGAGATAGAACCACAGAAGGCTGTTCTGGCAGGCTGGAGTTGAAGTGTGCACAGAAGTTCTGTGCGTTCTGCCTGTGGTGGTTAGAAGCCATCTTTTATCCCATCTTCCCACTCTGTAGTGCTGGGGCTTAGCAATAAGCTTTGGTGCTTATTCCAGTGCAAGCTTCTTGATGACAAGGTGATAGCGTTTTATAGTTGCTGAGCTGCTGTTGAACTCTAGTGATGAAGGAATCAAAGAAGATTTAAAAGCAATAGGGATAAAGGGATACTGATTATAGAAGTGTGGAGTTACTACTCCTGGATTTACTGCAAGTATGTATGCTCTCTGAAGATGCTTTCAGAAACCAAGGCTGACCTACATTTAGTTTTCCTAAAAGATTTTGGGTAAACACTGCCTGCCTGAGCACATGCTCATCAGCGAGAGCTTTAAAACACAGACTTCCTTGCCATTACAATGAATCTTCTTTGAACGCTACAGAACTTGCATCTCTTCCCATTCTAGTCAGTGTCTTTGTTTTAAAACTTGAAGTTTCCTGCTGCCCCACCCTGAGTTTGCCAGAAAATGAGGATTGAATGGGTCTGAGCGTATGCAGACTACCCCCAAAAAACAGCTGTTTGAAAAAGTAGGTGTCCTTAGGGAGTGATTTGCTGTAACTTCCCATTGTAAAATACCATTGTTTTTTGATGTATAGAAATGTCATCTTAAAATCACCTGCACTAAGAGCTTAGCTTCAGTTAGACATGACATGGGCAGTGAAGGTTGAACAAATAAAGGAGAGGAAGGAGTGACTGTTGGTCACTTGCTGGTTCTGTATGAAAAGTTCTCATCTTGATTCTAGTTAATTTTTCATGATCTTTTCTTCACCTTTCTTGCGTATGTGACACATTAAGATAAGCTTTTTAGGAATGAGTGTGATGAGGATGGTAGAAGGGTTTAGGAGAATCATTTAGGGAGGCATTCTAAGTGCTGGTTTAACACAGGTGTTTGGGAGAGGGGAGAAAAACACAGAGCTCACTGAAATGCTCACAAATGCAAGACGATGTTGAGAGGTGGGTGCAAGACTGCAGTATACAGGCCTCTCTACAGCCGTAAGGTAGGTTTGGAGCCCCTATAAGAGAGGGATACAGTTGATTTTTCCTGATTTAGCAGACTGGCATCTATACCCTTAATTCCTTATATGTGTTCAGTTTTCAGATATGCCTTTTATCTTGTGGCAAATATGTAGTCTCGTGATCTGTGCATTCACTTTTGGTCTGTTCCAAAGTTAAAGCTCTTAAGTAGAGTTAGTAAGTTTGGTCTTACTGTCTACCTGGCAGCTTGGGCATCTGATCTTAAGGAATAAAGAAAGAAGGAATGCTCTTTAAAGGAATGTTGTCAACATAATGATCACTTCATAAATGTTTTTGAGCAGTGATGGTCATAAGACCCAGGGTAACTTGCTCTCAATTTTTTTTTTAATGACCCCACTGGCAGTTGCAACCTGTGCTTACCCAAGTAATGGCAGAGGAAGTAGAGCAGTAGTTTGCAAATATGGGGAGTTACTTATACAATGGTGACTGTGTTCTGTTCCCCAGGTACTACTGAATATACTGCTTCTAGGAATCTCAAATCTGAAAACAGATGAGCTGCAATGATTGGCTGCAGTTGTGGTGGCAGCAGATCTGGGACTTGGAGAGCCCCTTAACTGGTTTGGTGAGATGGCTAGGTCAATCTAATAGCTCATTAGTGCTCCCCCAGCTTGCTCTGTGACTGCTTATTGAACACTTTGTGGAGTCCTGCTCTTGCTAAAGTAAGAGAAAATCAACCTGAGGAAGAAGTAATTAATTTTGAGGTTGAACTACCTTAACAAAGGAGCTGGCATAAGGAATGTGGAGAAAAGCACTGGTCCATTTGGATTAGGCTGTATTATAAGATGGTGTGTGCATCAGCATATGGTGCCTTAGTAGCAGGAGCTACTATTCCCAAAGATTGTGTCTGTATGTACCAAGGAAGCAAGACTAGGCACCAAACTGACGTGGGTAGTAACTGACCGCAAAATACTGCACTGCAATTACTCAGTTCTCCCTGAGAAAGCATCAAAGGGTATTCATATAATAGTGGTACTAAAGAAGAAAAAACATGAGGTATAAGTCAAAACCTTACTTCCAGAGTCCTGCCTGAAGGCCTAATATCAAAGATGCAATGCTCATTAAAATGTGAGGTGATTGTCCTGGAGTTCCTCTCTCAAGAGTTTTTTGGGAAAAAAGGAGCTACTTCAGGCTTAAAAAAAAAAACAAACCCAAAACCAAAACTTCCTGTTCAGCCAGAACAGTATACTCATATAGGAGAATCTCCTTTAAGAATCTCAATAACCTACTTAATACCTCTGCTCTACTGAGAGTACCTATTAAAAATAGAGCTCTATATATTCTGTACAAGTGCTTCTGGATTATCTGCATGTTTACACGAATCAGAATATTTTTGCACTCCTCTTATCAGCTGGTTGAATATTCAACACTCCTGTCTTCTAATTCTCACAATAATAATTTATTTTGTGCCTGATCTTCCTCCTTCGTTTTCTTATATAGTCCATCAATAATCACCATGTACTATCTCATGTCTTATCAATTTTGGGAGCTGATAAACCTGTCTTTATAAGATCAGCAGTGGATTCACTGAACTCTTAACCTTTTAGAGCTGACTCAATGCATTTACTATATCAATGTTCTGATATCTTTTGCAAACAATTTGTTAGGTACTTAGCTAAAGTTTTCTAGAAAGACACCTACCTGAAGTTTGTTAATAATTGATTTACATGCAAAAGAGGTTTGTCTGTGAATTCCTGCTGACTGCCAGTTGAGGTGTGTTTGTATGGTCAGCTGGCTACATGTCAAGGGTGATTTAAATGTTTATGCCTCATGTGATCTGAGGTATCTAGAAGTATCATGTGAGGTGTTGTTTGCTTTCTTGTTCCTAATTTTAAACACAAGCCTTTTCCGTGGTAGTCTGTTACTGAGTCTATGAGCTACTTTGAGACATTCTCCTTAGAGAACTGTGGTCAGAGTTTAAAATTAATTTTTCAGAAAACTTGGTTCATTCTGCAGGAAGGCTAATTTATAGAACCGAAAAGATGAAGGATCTGAGGAAATTATACCAGTGAAAAAGTTAGGGTCATTGATATATAACCAAAGGAATTTGTATTTAAAATAAAAGTCATAAAAAAGCAATTGATGGCCTCTTCCCCACACAGACTATAGTTTCTTCTCTCCCTAGTTATTGTATAGGGAGTATTTTATTTTTTTTTCTATAGATCTCCCTATTCAGGGCTGTTGTTGAATATTCTTTTCTATTTATTTTCTGTGTGTTATTAAGGCCAGTCACTTTCCAGGGTGCAGTTTGTTTCTTGTCTTCTGCTTAGAACTGCATCAGTCATTAAGAGTTAAGGATAGTGATAAGCAGGAGTATCAATGTATCCTAAAGCTAGGTATTGTAGTTCTTAGAAAGTCTGTAGCCTCTTTTAAATAAGCTCTCAAATGAAACTTGTAAATGTGCTTTCCATGAAGTTTAATCAAACAAAAACACATTCCAGAAGGAGATCTAGTTTTGTCAAGGTAGTTCAGAAAGAAACCCTGCAAAGGGTGCTATAATATTTGAAGTGAATTGGGCTCACTGATGTATTAGAATGAGTTCTTCTGGGATTACTGCCTTTGTGAAAAAAGAGAATACGCTAGAACTAAGAGATTGTCAAATCTGGTAGAAGCACTTCTGCTGAATATGAAATCTCATGTCCAAATGTTCCAGTTCAGAAGTCAATTCATGTATTGCACAACTGTGTATTGGGGAAGTAAGGGTACTTACTTCCTGAGGTCCTGTCTTGGACATCCAGTTTTAACTAGTGCTGTTGTATTTTGCAGAGCTTCACTTACCCGTTTATTTTGTGCATTTATGGGGTCAGTCTGGAGGCTTTAGAAAGTAAAAACATTTCTATAATGTTTACAACAAAAAGGCTTAGAAACTACAGGTATTGGTAGGTGAGATGATGAGGACAAAAACTGCTTAGAGATTACTCTGCCCACAGATGCTTTCTGTGTATGGCCTGCAAACAAAGGGAAATGTGTTTTTATTACTGCTTTCAAATTCGTCACAGAAAATTCAGAAAGGCATGTCCTTACCCTACAGAATTAATCTTCAGTATGATCTTTTTTAACCTGTCACTTATCAAAAAGCCATGAAGTAGTTCTCCAGCCAAAACATAAATCATTAACACTGTTAAATTGTGTGGAGTGAGAACTGAAACTTCATGTTTCTTTCCATAATCTGAAAAATCAAGATTTGCATTTTGTTCCCAGTAGCTTCATCCTGAGCCCTTTTCAGCCTGCAGAACATACTTTAGGAAAGAAATTGTGAATTACAGTGATTAGCAGTTTCACTGCTGGTATGGAAATGTAAACCTCAAAAAAAAAAAAAAGTCCTTTTTTGTTAGACCTGCTTTATGCTTTATAAACAAAGGCATCACACCTGTACATGAGACTTCATATTTTAACTCCAGTATTGTGTCTTGGCACAGGTGCAACTTGCCTGTTATCTTTTGTTTAGAATTACATAAAATTATCATTTTTTCAATTTGCTCCTGATCAGCCCTTGAGTAAAAATTAGTATGTAATGTTTCTCATCTTCTACTCTGAATTGGGGCAGAAGCCTCTATCCTCCAGAAGCGGGAGGGTAAGATATCTTAACCAAATTAAACTTGCACTTAACGAAGATCACTCCATTAAGTTCAAGTAAGACTTTGTATAGCTTTCTGTTTTCATTACTCTTCTCGATAAATGTATCTTGATGATAATCTTCTTCATTTGTAAAGTCTTCATACTCTAAGTAGGAGTGCTTATTAGAGTGCTGTTTGGAAACCTCAGCAAGTTCTTAAAACATCTGGTACTATGGATGTTTGTGTTGGTCTTTTGAAAGATGTCTTTGCTAGAAGAACTTTTATTTTTTCCCAAGGAAATGAGATTGCAGAAACAGAATGTCACTCTCCTACTTTGTTTTGCATTGAAACTAAAGACAAAATTAACCTGTTCTGTCCTTGGCAGGTTTGCTGTTGCAACTGGCTAGTCATGAATGATTGATATAAATAGAATTACATTCTGTTCTTTTTCTAATTAAAAGCACTGATACAGCTCAGGCATGAGACTGTGGAGCAAGCTGTTGGCTTATAGTTCAATAAGCAATAACTAAACATCATTTTGTGAGGTTACAAGACTGAACTGCAGTAAACTCTTTCGAGGGTATGATGCAATACTGTAATCTCCCTTACTATGCTTTCCAATATGTCAAGAGTCCTTGAAGTATGACCTAAAATAAACTGTGGTCAGCTACTGGGTCTTTTAACGTTTCACTTCAGACTGCAGATATAAAAGCACTACAAACCTAATGAGGAAGAAGGGGTAGTTAATAAGGGAATCCTGAGGTATATGTTTTGTGGTGGGGCATAACCTGCAGTGGTTAAAGTTGCAAGAGCGTGGTCGTCCAGGTCTATGTTCTGAAGTCCTGTCCTTTTTCAGGTCTGCAGTATTTCTCTGTAAGCATCTCCAGCTTTCCAGTTAAATTAAGTGTTCCACTAAAAAATATTATCTCTTTCTTTAAACCATTACTAAGAATCAATGTCCTATAGCACTTCAGCTCTTTTGATTAATTTACTGAAGTAGGGAAAAAAAGCAACTCTGTGGGTAGGTCTGCATTAAAAAACTTCAAAATGAAACTTTGACAAGTACATAGGATGAAGTGATGCATACCCCAAAAAGGCGGGGGGTTGTGGAGCTGAAGGGAGTCGGGGAGAACCTCACTCCTGATTTTTTTTCTAATACTTCAGTAACTGAAAAGGTTCTCTGTATCTTTGTCTTTTTGGTTCTTGAGAGGAAAAAATTATTAACCAAGTAAAATTATTAACCAAGGAAATTTCTCTGGAAACTTGCTGCTGAAATAAGAGCATTTTTAAAGCTTAGTTCTAATATAGAAATGATATTCCTATCTTAATCTATTTTTTAAAATAAATAAAAGAAAATAAAACTTTATCAAAGGAATACTGGCATTTAGTACATCGTTCAAGCAGTGCGCTTCAGAGAAGGTGCAGATAACAAGATCCTTCCCTCCAAGTATTACTAACTTAAAGTATTAAAAAAGAAAAAAGTGAAGACTCAAACTAGTGTTGTATTCAAACCTGAATGGAAAAGATATGAAGCTATGTATCTGGGTTAAATGCTAGCCAAATAAATCTTGTGTAGCACACGCACAGCTGGAGCTGAAGAAGTAAAAATAAAAAACATAAATGGAGCTGATCTTTCTCACTTTTGACTTTTTTTTTACCATCAGATTGATAGTTTGTGGGCAGCTGTTTAAAGAGAACAGAAGGAGTTGCATGTACAGTTGCAAAACTCTGAAGAAAAAAGTCGTTCAGAAAGACTGAGTTTGCACTTTAAAACACAGATAACTTTGGTAACATCTGAGACCACCTGTTTTCATACCTATGGCCTAACATGACCTGGCACTACACGGTCTGCTCTTTGAAGTTACAACTGTTGATCCAGAATTATTCTGCATGGTAGTTCCTCAGCTACTGATTTTTGAAAACCTAAATATTCTCAATTTATGGAAAATGTGCATGCAGTATATTGTTTTTATGTAATATGTTCTTTTTCATCCAGTTATGAAGCCTTATGGTATTTCTGAAGGCAATGTTACAACAAGGGCTACAATATTAAGATGTATATATTATAATGTAAAATGTTATACACTTAAAGTTAAAATCTCTCCTTTTTGTATCTTTCAGTTCCGGGAGACTTGGGCAATCAGTTGGAAGCAAAGTTAGATAAACCATCAGTAGTGCACTATCTTTGCTCTAAGAAGACAGACAGTTATTTTACACTCTGGCTGAATTTAGAATTGCTTCTTCCTGTCATAATTGACTGCTGGATTGATAACATCAGGTAAGACCAGAAATGTTGCTCTTTGCAGTTATCTGCTTTCCTTAGACTGACATGCTTTGTATAGAATGGCTGCCTAAAACTTCCTTTTCTGATTCAAGACCAATGAAAAAAATTGTTTGGAATTCTGCTAGGTGGAGTAACAGGATGCATTAGAAGATACAGCTCTGTTGCATCTAAGGTAGCTGTTCACTGATGAAAAACAGAGGTTCTCCACAAGTGGTTTCTGCTGCTTTCTCTCCTGCTAGTTAACTGATGTTGGTTTGAGCACTTATCAGGTGACTCTACAGGCTTATCTAAAGCAGAAAGGTTTCTGCTGTTTTGATGAGTACTTACATTTTGATGAGGCAAGGAGAAGGAGGTTCCTTGAGCAGCTCAGAGGGTCAGGCAGGGGGAATGGTAGCTTGCACTTGTGCTGGCAGCATGTCATTAGAGAGCAGTCTCATGGGCAGCTGAGACACATGAGTTTCTTTAAGGGCAGTCTGGAAGTCTCTCCAGAATTACTTTGGTTTTAAAAAATTAGCTAACTTAAGGCTTCCAGGCTATTTCATCATTAGCTTCTCTAAGGTTCCTGTAAAAATCATATAAATACTCTATGAAAACAAGAAAAACTTAGCTTGTGCAATCTAAAAACATTGTATTCTATGTGAATGTACTGAGCTGTTATGTAGCTGTACCTCTGCCTTAAGTCTTGCCATAATTAGCCTTATAGACTAGATATTTTTCATGTGTGCAGGTTTGAGTATCAGTTCAGATTCTAAGATTCCATCAGGTACTAACTGTTACTGGTCAAGAAATAGAGTATTCCCTTATGCTGATGTGGGTGTTCTAGTTAAACAGCAGTGAATTATTTTTATCTTGGAGACTTTTTCTGGCATCTAATTTTACAGGTATTTTGTCTTCTACTGTCACATTTTTCTGTTTCTGACAAGTTTTCTCTGTTACGTGGCCTGATGCAAAGTGAAATACTATAGAACTGTATAAAGTAGCTTATATTCTGAAGGTCAGCCACAATTCTGCATACACAGTTTTGTAGAGAAGTCTTAGATTCTGCACATAAAATACTAAACTAATCAAAATAACTGCTTACATTGTATAACCTCTTATCTAGAGCTGGAGTACTCTTATCATGTCTACCTGTTTGTGGTTTTTCTTTTTATTTCGTCCTAGTAATAGCTCTTAAAGTTCTTGTTACTGCACTTAGAATGTAAGACTCAGTGTAGCTGAGAGTTGTCATGTGGTAATACAACATGTTTCATGTGTTTTCTCTCTCGTTTTTCTTTCCCCTCCCCCTCCCCCCCCCCCCCCAGGCTGGTATACAATCGAACAAGTAAGATTACAGAACCACCAGATGGGGTGGATATCAGAGTCCCAGGTTTTGGGCAGACATTTTCTTTGGAGTTCCTTGACCCAAGTAAAAGAAGTGTTGGTATGTACAAGCTGTGTCTGAAGTGCTGTGTCACTTTCAGGAATTTTCTTGTCTGTCTACAAGCTACTGATAAGTGAATTCAAATTACAGTTCTGCTTAGAAGTACTAAAACTAGTGTTTTTTTGGGTGGTAGGGTAGCATATGGCTTACTCTGATTTTAAGAGTTTTCATTGCATTATATCATTTTGATTGTTGTTTGGCCTGATAGGTTGAGACAAGAAGATTCCATGTTACTTATTCTTGTGCCAAATTTAAGTTATCCGTATGAAACTTAAATAGGCACTTTGAAAATAGACAGTTTTGGAAATGAGATGGGTTGAGTAGAAAATTCTGTGACTGAAGCTTAACAGACAAAACCAAAATATAACCACTTCATTTAAACTTGGTTCTGAGTAAGATCCTTTTTGGCCTTAGGAATGAGTTAATAGGCTTGGCAGATCTAGTACCATACTCCTTAGTTCCGTGTCATTTGTCAGTGTCAGAATAATTCCATAATTACGTTTGTGCTGCAGAAAGTTTTTGCAGAAATGCATTTGCAGGGATTATTTTTTTTTATAATGTTATTATAGAAATCGTCTTTTGGGAATTGCTGAATCTGGTTATCTTTTGTGAGTTGTTAGCTGTGGCTGAAGAGTAATTTAAATCGGTAACGCACTGAGCTTTATGTACTTCATGGATTTATTTTTCTTTAGGAAGCAATCTCCAAAGGGGTAGTAATGTGCTTACTGATCTTCCCTTGATAACTCTCATAACTTAAGAATAGGCCCTTATTTAAAATTGTCTCTGTTCGCTTCAGGGATTATATGATAAGTATTCAAGACTAACAAGTGAGGTTCTGCTCAAAACTTAGTTACGACTGTGATCAACAGGATGTTTTGACTCTTAATTTTTTAAACTGTTACTAGATGCATTTAAATGTGGTAATACTTAAGCCCTATGCACCAAAGCTTGTTATATGTAACATCTTCCAGTATCTAACATGAGCCGGTCTGCAGATGTTTCTCTTCTTTCCTATTAAAGCATTATGTTCGGTCACCTAAGTCTTAGCCCACTACCTGATAGATAGAAAAACGTTCTTACTGTAGTTGCCATAACTTTGCCTTGGGGGTATGCTATAAGCATTTGCTTCCAAGAATAGATGTTGGCCAATCTTATGAATGTATTATCTATTCTACCTGAAGTTAATCTGTAATCAACAAAAGCTAGGACTGTTAACACAGTAACTTCCATGATGTGTTCTTTACAGTTCAAGGGTAAGACATTTCTGCCAAAGAATTTATCCATTTTGTGTATACTACATTTTTTTGCAAAATTTGTTTGATAGATCAGCCAACTAGTAAAAAGTTTTAATTATATTCTGTCACTTTTGGGGGATAGTGAGCATAACTCATTTTGTTTGATATACAGCTTTCTAGATTGCCAAAGGCTACAGCTTTAATGTCTGTGTATATGATATCAGAGATAATGCCTCCAGAACTTTGTTGTGAAATAGTGTCTGACAGCTGCTTCTAATGCTAATCATTTCCATGTTATGTTTCTGTCTCTGTCTACAGGCAGTTACTTTTATATGCTGGTCCAGAGTTTAGTAGACTGGGGCTATAAACGTGATGAAGATGTAAGAGGAGCACCTTATGACTGGCGAAAGGCACCAAGTAAATAACAATGTTACTTGAACACAACTTTGACACTCCAGTCAGCAAATACTGTTCTGGGTCTCTTCTCCTTTCCCACCTTTACAATTATACTTAATTTTGACTAGTCCTTGTGGCCTGGGTATCCCTGGACTGAGATGCAAGCTCTGTGGTGTTTCTTTTTTGCTTTAAACAACTTGCCTAACTTGCTACTTAAGACTTGCTTAAAAAAAACAAATCAACAGCAAAAAAACCCACACTAGCAAAACACATCCCCACAAAAACACCCACCTCTCCCACTGGGATTTCTCAGCTCTGCATTATTAATTCCACAGACAGTGGAATTTGCACATCTTTTCATCAAAAGCACAGTTCTTTAAAAGTTTTTTTGGGTTTTTTGTTGTTCTTTTTTTCTTAAGTTAGGCATTCACACTTTATTATTATACCTGTGTAACCCATATATGTTTATTTTAGATGAGAACAGAGACTATTTTGTGGCTCTTCGTAAGATGATAGAGTTAATGTATGAGCAGTATGGAAGTCCGGTTGTCTTAATTGCCCACAGTATGGGTAACATGTACACCCTCTACTTCCTCAACAATCAGACTCAAGATTGGAAAGACAAGTACATAAAGGATTATGTGTCATTAGGCGCTCCATGGGGAGGAGTGGCTAAGACTCTCCGTGTGCTGGCTTCAGGTAGGTAATTGAGAGTTTGCAATATATGTTGTTAGTAGTACAAGATAGTAACTAGACTGTTAATCTCTTAAGACTGGACGATGAGAGTGTAAGATAATACTAAGTAAAAATTAATTTTTTCATAAGTGATGGCAACTTGCTGTTGCAATCCCTGTGACCAGATTGTCATTCTCTATGTTCATGGAAGTGGACTGAATTTTTTTGCATCCCTTAACGGGGAGCTGCATCCCTTCTTGACTTCTCCTAACCCCTTTTCAGCAGATCACTGTGTCATCTACTGTTTAGTGCTGTCTTCTACTTCTGTCATTTCTGCCTCCAGCCTGATTGCTCTCTGTTCAGTACTGCAAAGCTAACAAGGAGTCCAGAGCATTCAGTAGTTTCCTTTGATTAAAGATAACATGGCTGCTTCAGGTTAACATTAAGGAAAACTTGCAAACATGGTGATGAAGTGATGCCCACTGCACAAATGCACATCCAAAATTGTAAGTCTACAGATAAGAAAATTGAATCTTTGACATCTTGTGTTTAGCATACTGGATAGGCCCAATTCTAAACAACACTGAATAAAGAAACATAATGTATTTCACTAAATAGCTGCAAATAACTGATAGAAAAAGTATTTTACTCTATCATGTGATACTACGATTGTTTCTTGTGCTTTGACATATCCTACATGATGCTTCTGGCTTGGTTTTTTTTAGTTTGTTTTCAACATGTTAGCTTTGGATATCACTATCTTCTTCAACAAAGCTGACTCCAAAACTGGACTTCATCAAAATGCAGAACACACAACAAGTGCCAGGCATGCATGGACAGATCAAAGAATGCCTTGCTTAGTGAAGGCATTTGATTCTAAATAGTGGTGCACAGCTCAGTTAATAATTACAGAACTTGAACTGGATGTTTGTATTGAGTTACACGCTGTTAAATTTATTGAGATGTAAAAATTCCCTTTTCCCGCAGGCTTCATAGAATCATAGAATCAGAATAGTTAGGGTTAGAAAGGACCTTAAGATCATCTAATAAGTTTACATGCTACAGAAAAGGCAAGAAGTGAGCAATGCTAGTATCACCTTCATAAAATTCCACAATTATGTAAAATTCCACAGTCCCAGATTTCTATTGGATTTAACTTTCTTGTATCACATCCTTTATCCTTTATAATGCGTCTCATCCAAAGTGATTATTTATACAAATGCATAATGAATAGTTAAATTTCTACCAAAATGAGAATCATAATGAATCGTGTTGGAAAGTTAAATGGGCAGAATACAACATCAGAATGTACATTTTTTAGGCTAGTTCTATCTCAAATATCTGTAGTAAATCACCACCATCAGGCATTAACACTGGGATTACACGTTAGAAACTACATGGAGTTTTAAAACTGGCCTTATCAGGGTGTTCATATGCAGAACTGTTGCTTTAAAGAAAAATAGTACATTGCTCTACGAAAGACAAGGCAAGCTGTTGAATGCATTCTTTCTGCTCCTGTTCCTAGTTATAATACGATTATGGCTAGGAACTTCATGTCAAATCCACAGTTGTGTTATCAAAGTGGTAAACAGTACACAGGTGGCATTACTTTCTCTAGATCATATGTGATACTTTCTGGGGCTTACTCGTGCACTTTGGAAGATCAACACAATCATTACAAAGCCAGTGCCAATGAAGTGAGAATGTTGTTCCCACTGCAGTGAGCTAAGACCCAAAGTTTACTGTGGAGGTTGATTTGGTGTTTTTTTTTTGTCAACTTGGGGTGCTAGCAGGGTCTTCCTTAGACCTAATATTTTGTTCACTATAATGTCAATGACTGTTGTGCTTGCTGACTTGAGCATGGTATTGGCCATACAGTATTTCTGCACTTCAGAGAAAAGTAAAGGATTTGATAAGCACTTCATGAGAGTTCTGTGAAAGAAGGCTGGAACAGTCAGGTTCTGTGTTTGGTTGTTCTACTGGAAATAAATTCTGTACACATCCCTTTCAGTGTGCAGTTCAAAACTCAGGCTTTCTTTGCTGAAAACTGCCAAGTTGTATTCAGTAGCTTAGTGGTGAGTGTGCACAGTTCAGTTTTACACCATACAGTAATATGAAACGCGTTTGAGGGCTTTTGTGATTCTTGCTGTGCTCCTTGGAGTCTCCTTTTTATCTGCTTCAGAGTTAATGGTAGTCAATGTTTCCATACAGTCTTCCTCAAGATGGCATTAAAGACTGTGCTTTAGGACTCCGTGCTGAAGCAACAGTGCCACCTTATGGAACTGAAAAATCTACTTCAGGGCTATTACAGAAATTGCGGTTTTGATTTCAGTGTTTCAGTTTTTATGGTGTGGCTGACCTGGATCACTATGTGTTGAAACCACCGGAACCAAGTAAAGGCAAATTCAAAGTTCAGCTGACAAAAGAATTGAAGTGTGCTGGCTGTTGTGATTATGGAAAATAAATCTGATGAGATGGTCACTGTGAAAACAAACTCTGAATTTTTACAGTAATATAATTGGTTTCTAGTAATGACTATATCTGCCATTTATTAAGCAGCTTCTAGTTTTGTGGAGATGCAAGAACAGTAGTTAAAATATGAAGAAAGGTGCATATAAATTGTAACGTAGTCATGTGTTAGAGCCATATCTGTAACATATTGGTAAGAAAACAATGGATTTGCTATCTCAAAAAAATTCTTTAAATACTTTGGTCAAACACCAGTTCTGTAATAACAGTAAGTCTAAACTTGGTAAAATGTAACAATAGTGTGGGGTTTTGGGCATCTGATAATTTAAGACCTGTATTGATAATAAGTTCTAGTTCTCTAGATTTGTTTTGAGCAACACAATTATTTCAGCAGTCTTGAAATGCTTACTGGAAGGGAAGATGCTGATGCTGGAATTTTGCATGGTTTACACCAGAAGCCAACAAGTTCCAACATATCTTTTGCTGTGAAGTACTGTGCCTGGAGACTGAATAGGTTACAGAGTACAGCGTTGTTATTTGATAACATAAGCAGAGATAGTTACACTTGCTTTGCTTCTGTTGCCTTGTATGATGGTGAATTTTTTTAGGTACCTATTAACAGTCTGCCATTTTCTCTCAGTGATAGGCATGTTCTGATAGGTTTCATTACAAAGGGAGCACATAAACTGGTAAAACATTATGTCAAATGGTAAATAAACCGTATAGTAATTTTTATGACTATTCTGAATGAAATACTGCTTGTTTTGAACATGCAAAACTTTAAATATTTTGTTAAGCCCATAAAGGCTCTTCATGAGTTCTTAAATACATATGTGTAGTGGTATTTATCTGTTCTTGCAGCAAAAACCTCATCTAGGTACTGAATTCACTGTAAAACAGTTTCCCAGAACAGCATGGAAGACAAAACTTGCAAATGGTACAAATAATGCTTAATAAAAGCTGGTTTCTTCCTTTACTCAGGTAGGAAATACTTGCTTCTTTCACAAGGAACATGATGGAAAGGCAGCAATGTTCTTGGTTTGTCAGTCATTCATCAACTTGTATTTACATTTTAAAGTTATAAGGTAGTTTACAGAAGTTAATTAGCAAGATCGGATAAATGAAGAAAAACTTTTCAAACTGTCACTAAGCAAAAAAAATAACGTTTTTTTCATGTTATCCCTGTGAGTGGTAGTAATTGCTGCTGGTTGAGAATCCTACTTTGCATTGTGTATAATGAAATTCCACTTTCTTTTCTTTTAAGGTGACAACAACAGAATACCTGTTATTAGTTCACTCAAGATCAGAGACCAGCAGAGATCAGCGGTTTCCACTAATTGGATGCTCCCATACAACTACACATGGCCTCCAGATAAGGTCTTTGTAAGAACACCTACAGCTAATTACACTCTTAGAGATTACCAGAAATTCTACAGGGACATCAATTTTGAAGATGGCTGGCTCATGAGACAAGACACTGAACCCTTGGTCTACCGGATGACACCACCTGGTGTGCGCATACACTGTCTTTATGGCACTGGGGTGGAAACACCCGATTCCTTCCATTATGAAAGCTTTCCAGACAAAGAACCCAAGATCTTTTACAGCGATGGGGATGGTACAGTAAACTTACAGAGTGCCTTGCAATGTCAAAAGTGGGTGAACATGCAAAAACAGAAAGTGGTGGTATTTGAGCTTTCAGGAAATGAGCATATTCAAATGCTATCCAATGATACTACTATCTCCTATGTGAAAAAGCTGCTTTTTGATTTGTGACACCTTGTGTTATTTTCCTCACCTGTGATGCCTTCCCTTAAATATGGGGAAAATGCCTTTTAATCTCTTGGTATTTAGATATTTGAATTATTTATTTTGTGGGGATTTTTTTAAGGCTGTGTTTGAGAAGTTGTTTGGTGTCCTAAATGATTGTTTGTCTCTAATTTGTGCTTATGGCGCTTCATGGTATTTTCACGTTCTGCAGATTTGGTCAAATAAGCATTTTGGTGCCTCTGGTGTTTGTGTCCAGTATTGTAAGACCTTTCACTTGGAGATTGTGCAGCCCATGCACATACTACATGCCTGAGTTTCTTTGTGTGACTGTGTATTTGCAGGGTTTGGAGTGAGAGGGCTAGGAAAGGCTGCAGGTTCAGAAGCCCATAAAACAAGGGAATAATACTAACAACTGAGAAACACAGTGAACTTTTTAAAAGGTCTTCCATATTTTCATTCACAGTTTCCAGTACTTTAGTTTGTAAATGTGCACATCTACTAGGTAAAATAGGGAAGACCTCTGCCTGGTACTGTACTACCTTTGTCATAATCCAGACTTGCTTTTATTACAGCTTTTAGGAAGAGAGAGAGATGTGTGAATTACTTCAATTTCTTAAATGCTTTTTCTTTTTCTTTTTAAGAAGGAAAAATTGTTTGCTTGTGAACTTCTAGAACCTGATTACATAAAATCTGGGTCTGAGGAATTCTTACCTTGTGCTTTATTTATCATTGAGGGAAGGAAGCTGAATAGTGGTTGGTGCTTGCAATAGCCTTAGCTGTGTGGAGTAGTAGATAAATTAAAGCTAACTGAATGTTGTCAAACAATCCCTGTGGTGCAGAATTGCATTTCTGGGTGAAAGTTGATCTCCTGTAGTGGAAATGATAATGGATGGTGGGCATTAGTTCAAAAAGAAAAGTGAACTTCCTGAAATGGGGTGAGGAATAGAAGCCAGCATAATAAGAAATGAAGTGTATAAACCTTGTTCTCAGTCAAATACATTGGCTCTGATCCACTTATTGGCAAAGTGGTAATTGGACCAACGTTGCATTCAGCTAAAAATAAACTTTACATTTTAAGTGAGAAATTCATTTTCCATAGGTTAAAAGTTTCATTGTTGCTGCTTCGAGAAGTTGGGATACACTGTTTCTTAAATCATAGAATCACAGAATAGTTAGGGTTGAAAAGGACCTCAACATCATCTATTTCCACCCCCCTGCCATGGGCAGGGACACCTTATACTAGACCATGTTGCCCAAGGCTCTGTCCGGCCTGGCCTTGAACATGGCCAAGGATGGAGCATTCACCACTTCTTTAGGTGACCTGTTCTAGTGCCTCACCACCCTCATAGTAAAGAACTTCTTCCTTGCGTCTTACCTGAACTTCTCCTGGTTAAGTTTAAACCCATTACCCCATGTTATTGGCATTGTTCCACCTCTCATATGTGTCAGGGCCCCTCTGGATGGCATCCCTTCCCTCCAGCGTATCAACCAAACCACACAGCTTAGTGTCGTTGTCCAATGTTTCTATAAATTGCTGAACATGCAGTTCTGGTAATTCTTACAGTACCATTTCAGTAAATATTTAAAAAAAAAAAATCTAACCCTGAACTCCACAGAAATGATAGCCTAAAGGCCACCATATTTACAGGCTTGATTACTGAAGTCCTGTTGGAGAAATAGTTGCATTCAAAGGTTCTCTTTTGCTTGCTTTAAAACCAGTCACCCAGATTGACTGTGCTTAGTTTTCTGAAAACACACTTCTAAATGCTTCCAAAATGCTAGGTCCTCCAAGGAAGATGTTCTAAGAGTTTCAGGAACTCATCAGAACTATTGAGGATTTCTTACTTAAGAAACTGAAGTTGTCTAAATGGTAAAGTTTTTCACTGTTTTAGTAACATGCATTAAATATTTGCTGCCATTAAATGCATGGTATGTTGAAATGACAGGCTTGAAATTCTGTTATTATAGACTGCAAACACTTTAGTGCAGGAGGTGGGACTAAGGCTTTATATTTTGATTAAAAAATGACTTGTAAATCCAGAGCAACTTGAACTAGAATGGATAAGCTAATTGTCTTCTTAGGTTTTTAACTTCCTTCATTTTCCCCCTGCATTTTCCCTATTACTTTTGTTTATCTTGTCCTCAGTTGCCCAGGAACTTACAGTTCAGCAGCAATATTACCCAGACTTTTCCAGAATGAGAACTTGGCTGCCGTAAGGCACTTGTAACTGGTAACTGTTGAAAACAAAAACCTCTGAAACCCCCAAACTAAAAAGCACAACAACAGAAAACCCACATTAAAAAGTTCTTTAGCCAAGTATTCTGTTTTATGTAGGGCTGTCACCTGGATATGCATCAGGCTTGTGTTCTAAGACTGCTCAAAGATGGTAAACTTCCTCCTGTGGTCTGACTCAATTCTTAAATACATTGCTATGTTACTGGTTTGCAATGGGAAGAAATTACAGAAGACAGCTCATCACAATCTCTATTTCTTGCTGAAGTAGAATGCCCGTGAAATAGCACTGGAATGAGTGGAGCTGGAGGCTGTATAGCAGGATACGAACGTCAACACGAAGGGCTGAGAAAATGAAAATGAAATGTAAATAGTTCTTAACCTGATCTGGAGACTCTTTTCTAAGCTTCCATTAATCAGTATCATTTTCAGTCTTATACTGAGAGTTTAGCTTCAGGTTTTTTTGTGATTTGAAGTTCCAAAATACATGATTGTAAAAGATGCTTTTTATTTTCTAATTTTCTTTTAAACTACTTTTTAATATTACTTTACATCCCAAAAGGGGGGGGGGGGGGGAAGGGAATATCCTTCTTACCAATTCTGGCAGCCTCATACAGTGTTTCTGAGGTTGGCTGACTACATCTTTTAACCTAAAGATTTGTAAATCAGCATTTCATTAGTGGACAAGCCCTGAAGTGTGTCTGTATAAATAAACTTACGTTAGTTAACCTGGTAAAATTAAGCTCAAAGTTTTACAGGGTGGGGTGTGGTTTTTTTTGGTGGGTATTTTTTTTCTTGTTGGGTTGTGGGTTTTTTTTTTGGGGGGGGTGTTTGTTTGTTTGTTTGTTTGTTTTGTGGATTTGGGTTTTTTTTTGTTTGTTTTTTGGGTGGGAGTTTTTTTGGGGTTTGTTTTTTGGTGGGTTTTTTTTTTTTAATGTTGTTTGTAACTATGTAACCTTGTTGTGCAAGAGTATGTGTAGGTAAGTACTGTGTTAGAGCAAGCACAGTGCTTCTGGTGAGGTACAGTTTATAAGTGAAGGTTCTGCAGTTTTATGTCCAGAAGTTGTGATTTTTCTACCAAATCATCTTCAGCCTTTTAATTTTCAGTTTCTTGCATATTAGGATGAAGTTCTCATTGAAAAGTGAATGCAGCAAGTAAACTCCAATTCTAATAATTGAAAATGAACCACTTCACTCAGCATGATGAAGTGCTTGCTCACTATGGCATGTTCCTCTACAAGGCAAGAGTCTTTAGCATTACTGTTACGGGCCTGCTAGAGCTATTTGCACTTGAGCACTCTAGATTCTTATGGGGAAAAGATCTAAAGAAGTAAATCTTTATGAGAGGAGAATGTCTTCCTGAAGAGGAGTAACTTGAGTGCTTTGCCACGCTACACAGCTGAAATATTTGAATTTACTGACATTTCTTTGTTATACCTAACATATATTGATGATGTGTCTCTCTCTTTCCATAGTTTTTACTTGGTTTTATTCTTCCAGGATATTTTCAGAAACCAAAAATAGTCTTGAGGACCAAATGTGTTTTGTATTTTTGACTAAATGTATAGAAAATACTGAGGAAGCTTTCATTGTAACACTTCTGAGGAGGTTCAGAGTCACTATGTGATTCTGTTTAAAAACAGAAGGCTTCAATAACTAGCAATAATTGCAAAGGACTTGCAGACCAAAGGAAGGAATGCTTGGTATTAATGTAGTTCTTGGAGCAGAGTGTGTTTAAGGCCCTCTTAAATTCAGGGAATGTTTGGCAATGACTTTGCTGCTCTACACTTGACAGTATTTTGTATGGAACGTATTCTGAGACCTAGCATTTTATATGCTCTTTTTGTGTATGAATGTGTTCAATAGATTTTGAATATTTTATTGTCAAACTTTGATAACATAATAAAGTTGATCTGATATAGTTTGTCTCCTGTTGTGAATAACATGTTGTCTCACTGCTTGGATGGAATGTCAACTTGCTGGTATTCTTGCCCCCCATATTTTTGGTGTCGCACTTTTCTCACAGTAGTTGCTTCTTGGTTCATCTTCCAAATGCATCTACTGTCTTGTGATAAATTTGGAGTTTTCTGTTAATTGTTCTTGAATTTATGGAGATGTGGAACTGCAATTACTCTGTTTCTTTTGTTTGCTTCTTTCTTGCTCATCTTATGGAGGAAAAAAAAGTTCTTGAGACGCCTCACACTTCTGTTAAGGTAATCATTTGGAAATTAGTCACTCAATCTTGAAGTGCCCCAAATGCTTACAGTTGCCTTTATACTGTTGGTTTCCAAACTGATCCACAAGCCCATGCATGTAGACCATAGAGTTTTATGACAGTATTAAACAATCTTTCTGCAATTAAAAATAGTGCATTGTGGCTCTGAAGAAACTTAACTGTAGACAGTTATTCCAGGGGGGGAAGCCTGGATGTGATCTCCCTTATCAAATCAATCTAAAGGCCTGTTGGGCAAGTGTAAGTCCTCTTGTGGCTGGCCTGGGTGCTTCACTGACTTAGAGAACAAATGATTGCTTATGACTCTTGAGAAAGAAGAAAAAGTAGTAAGGCTGAAACTTGCCTTGTGGGAGTTTCCCTCCCCCAGCCTGCATGTGATAAAGACCGTAATACAAGATGAGTGTTGGTGGCTGCTGCTCCTCTCTGTGACCTAGATGCCTATTAATTGGACATCTTGTCCCAGTACAGTTCTTGTTTATGCCTTCCTCAAGGTTCATTGACCCCTTATGATTGCAGGAGAAAAGGGAATGTGGCCTTCTTCCAGCTCCTACTAAGCTGAGGGAAGTGTTGCACTGAAGTAAATTAGTCCTGCACTGCGCCAGTTCTTGGAAGAAGCTGAGAAGGCTGAGAGCACAGGGAAGGTGGGACGGAATGATAATGAAGCCTGGCTAGAGTGATGCCAAGCCTTGTGGAAGACTGCTATCCTGTGCAATCCTAGAATACTGATGTAATGCTGGTGCTAGCTTGTGTTGTGCATCTTTCAAATAACAACATT